TGAGACAAACCAGAGCATGGCTCTCCTCTTCCCAGACACATGAGAGGAAACCGTTCTTATCTGTCTTCCAGCACTAAAAAAAAAAAATATTATGAAGCTTTTCATGTAATTAAAAAAAAAAACTAAATTTAAATAAAGGCTGTGTTCTGTCACGACTCCAGGTAGATTTTAGATCTGTGGATGTCACGTGGTGTTTATATTTGCCAATACCAAACAGCCACCTGCACCGTCACTATGCGACACCAGAGTGGGGGATCTTATCACACCATGCTCATGTGAGGGTTTTTTTTTTTTTTTCCCCCGGTCTGTGTGTTTTCAGGGAAATGTCGGGCCTGCTGCATTTTGGCTTTTGGGCTACTTGTTGACAAACCCTGAAGCCCTGACGGCAGTGAAGACAGAGTTTGGCCAGATTTCACAGATGGCGAGTTCAGAGTCTCCTTTCATGGACAAATCCACAAAGACCCCAGTGTTTGGTGAGGGCTTTGTTGTTGTTTTTGTTACCAGATTAGCATTTATCTGCATTACTTTGGACGTATTTTAAAATAATTAAAAAAGTATTAATACATCTACAGGCTTTTCATTTTTTATGTTCACAGCAACAAAACGTGAATATGTTTTATTGGCACATTATTTGACAGACCAACACAGAGTAGAGCTTATTTTTTAGATGAAAGCAAAATGATGCAGGATACTAAAATGTGCTTTTCATTCATATTCAGGCCCTTTTTCCCCACAATAGATTCCTGCTGACCTGCAAAAATGAACAGCTCAGGTTGAGAGAATCTGTTTATAGAACATCTATTATTCATGCACTCCACAAATCTGGCCTTTGCGGAAAAATGGCCTGATTGTAAAAAAAAAAAAAAAAAAAGGAAATCCCCGCTGCAGTTTGTCATAAGCAGTGAAGGAGACCCAGCAAACATGAGACCAAAATGAAACTTCCAGACCTTCATAAAAACATACCATCCCACTGTGAAACAAAATGGCGGTGTCAGCATGATGCTGTGGTGATGCTTTTCTTTAGCGTAGATAGGAAGCTGATCAGAGTTCAGGAGAAGACAGATGGCAGGTCTGGAAGAAGTTTGGAGGTTTACCTTCTATCAGCACAGATATCATGAAGGAGCATGTAAGAGCTGAACATTGATCTTCACTCCAACCAATCAATCAATCAAATTTTATTTGTATAGCACATTTCAGCAGCAAGGCATTTCAAAGTGCTTTCCATCATAAACACAAAGTCATGCAACATAGAATAAACAATATTACGTTTCAAACACAATTCTAAACAGGCGTGTTTTTAGTTGAGATTTAAAGAAAGTCAGGGTTTCCGCTGTTTTACAGTTTTCTGGAAGTTTGTTCCACATTTTTGGTGCAGTCTGACTGAACTTGTTAAAGAAAAATTGACCTTCAGTCTCTAAAAGTTTAAGAACCGATACAGACAGGATACATGTGCCTTCTTTGAAAATGTTAGAGGTTTAAAAATTATAAATGTGAAAAGGTTATCAATACTTTTGCTGATTACTATTGTAGCATTTACCTCTAAATCAATATAACATGCTGTGTGTTGCAGCTGAAAAATAGCAAAATCCATTGGTTTAGTTGAAAATATCCATTGTAAAAGATTAAAAATACATAAACACATCTGTTCATTTGCACACTCATTGTGATTTTTTTTTCTTTTTTAGACAGTGTTTTGGAAGAGACTCTTAGACTCACTGCTGCCCCCTTCATAACAAGAGAGGTAGTGCGGGACAAGACCCTCCACATGGCTGATGGTCGGGATTACCTGCTGAGAAAAGGAGACAGGCTGTGTTTGTTTCCCTTTGTCAGCCCTCAGATGGACCCGGAGGTCCACCCCGAGCCACAGGTCAGTTTCCAGCTCCTTTCATCTTTCTTCACTAGTTGGAGGCAAGTTTTACGATAATTGATATCAAGAGTGGTTTATGTGAGGTGGGAATGAGCGGCCACACAAAGCTGACCCTGAACGGCCAGTGAGAGGTCAGATCCAGAGCTCTGGGCTACTCAGGGATTATCAGAGCATGAGAACAGAAAAAGACCTCCTGGTTTTTCCACCAAGTATTGATTTCTGAACTCTTCCTGAGTTAAAACATCAGTATTGTTGTTTCTAAATTAACATGAACTGTTTTTGTTTGTTTTTTCATTATTTGGGGTATTAAAGCACTGCATCTTTTTCATTATTTTGACCATTTCTCATTTTCCGATTTCCAATTTTTGGTTGGAATTTCAGAGACATGTTGTCAGTAGTTCATATAATAAAAGAGCAATGTTCATTTTAGTCAAACATATACTTATAAAAAGTAAAACCAGAGAAACTGATTATTTTGAGTAGTCTCTTATTTTTTTTCCAGAGCTTTATATCCACTGTCAAGCATCACATTTAGTCATATTTTTTTTTTGTTGTCATTTTTTGCACCTAATATCTGCTTTGTTCCCCCTCTAGAAATTCCAGTTCAACCGTTTCCTGAATGAAGATGGATCAGTGAAGAAGGACTTTTACAAGAGAGGAAAGAAACTGAAATATTACACCATGCCCTGGGGTGCAGGGGCCAATGGCTGCGTGGGGAGGCAGTTTGCCATCAATACCATCAGAAAGTGAGCATCCTGCGCTTATTTCATCAGGATAACTGCAGCTTTGAAGTCGAAAGTCCTAATTATGTTTCTCGTCTGTGTTTACAATTCAGATTTGTTTACGTGTTGCTGACCAGCTACGATCTGGAGCTCTGTGACTCCAACGATCAGCTTCCAGAGAAAGATGCCAGCCGTTATGGATTTGGGATGCTGCAGCCTCAGGGAGACCTGCTTGTCAGATACAAACCAAGAGAAACGCGTTAAATTTTAAACATTTCATGGCAAAATTATTGTAAATATTGTCAATATCATTTTTGTACGTTTGTATTTATTGTTTATAAGAACATTATTTTTTCTATCGATAAAAATGAGTAATGTGTTTGCTAAATTTTGTGAATATTAATTTTGTTGGTGCTTAAAATATTTTACTCTGCCTTTGGAAGCAAACAAAACAATAAAAATGTAACAAAATGAAATTGCAGTTATTTGCTGCTCACTTTTTCAGGGAGCTGGGGAGTTCTTCATGTTGACTGCAGAGTGAGTTTAATGAGGGCGGCGCTTGTCCAGTAAACAGAGCTGGTCTGGTATAGGCAGAAACAGGCCTGCTGTTTGCAGAGTGAATCTGAGTGGAACATTTCGGTTTATGCTTCAACTCATCCCTCTTAGTCACAGGAGAGCATCTATCACAGAGTACAACTCATAGCAGAAACATCGAAAGAACTATAAAAAACACATACGGTGCCTTGCAAACCTGTTGAACTCTTGAGATTTTATGTCACAGATCTTAAAGAATGCAAGTTTGGCCAAATATTCTCCAATTAAAACCTGAAAAGTGTGGCTTTAGCTATGTGTGCAGCCGTCTCTCTGTCGTTCTTTTGAAGATTAGATATTTCTAACTCCGTCCCTCAAGGGCTGGAGTCCTCAATATTTTAGATGTGTCCATCCTCCAGCACAGCTGAGTCAAATGTCTGAATTTGCTCTTGACCGTTTGTCATTCTGCCGAGGCCAGATAAATTATGAATTTTACTTACTTTTGTTAGATCAGAAAGACATTGAGAACATGCAGGACTCCTCGCCTTGAGAAGTGACCCTGGAAGTCTCTCTGGTTGAACCACAAGTCTTTTATATTTCTCCCAACTTTACGCATGTAGAGACAGAATGTTTGCCAATTCGTCTTGTAAAAATAACTTACATCAGACTGGACAAAGAGCTTTTCTGAACAGTAGTTTCAAAGTAGTGCCACGGATTCCTAATGGGATTTGGGTCTGGACTTTGACTGGGCCATTCTAATGTGTGAGTATAAACCATTCCTTTGTAATTATGGCTGAATGTTTCAGGTTGTTGGTCTACTGGAAGTGCAACCTCTGTCACTAATCTAAATTCTTTGCAGTCTTTGACCAATTTGTTTTTTTTTTTTAATTCAGTATTCCAGTATTTACTTCTGTCCATTTACCCAGGAACTCTGACCAGCTTTTCTGCCTCAAAATCAGCCTCACAACATGATGCTGCCATCATGTTTCACTGTGAAGACATGCATTCTTGTTTCCCGACACACATGGCTTTTTGCACAATGGACCAAGAGTCATTTCTGGCCTTCCACGAAGGATACATTTCTGACATGGGTCATGATGGCAAACTGGTAACTGCTTCCTTTCAACAATGACTTTTTGCATTTTAGTTGTTCAGAGAGATCAGATTTGTGACTCGTTGTTGACCTATTTTGTCAGGGATTAGTGTTTGTTGAGCTAAAACCTACAAAAAATTAAATAAAACATAAACAAGATCATAACACATTCAAAACCAAACCACAAATCTACCTCAAAAAAAGTGTCTAAGTTTAATGTGAAACCATCAGAGACGCACTTTATTTTGCTCCTGTGTTATGATTGTGCAAAAACAGATTCTCCTGACTGAACTGTTCATTTCTGCAGCTGCATTAGAGTCTTATGGGCCTTCTAGTTATTTATTGATGAACATTCTCCTTATATATTAGTTTAGGTGGATGCCAAGTCTTGGTAGGATTTATTTCCCAATGTGACTTTAAAGGCTGTTGGTTGCAATGGATGTTAATCCAACACTCTATCAGTTTTATCGCACATGACAATTATGCACTACTTTCTTTGTGCTTCATACGATCCCGATCAAACACAATTAGGTTAAGTGAGTAGGATATATATTTTTTCTGATCCCACTTTTCTTACATAAGACGTCACTTCTAAAGTATAACGCGACAGCAAAATCAAAATCCACTCCAATTATGTCCAGTAGCGAAGTAACAAAGCGCAATCAGTCGCGACGCCGTGGCGCTGCGAGGGTTAACTTCACGCTGGCTGCGCCGCTGGAGGAGCCTGAGTGAAATCAGCCTGTGCAGCATCCCGTCCACAGTCACAGCCACTCCACGCTGCCAGAAAGCTGTTCAGAGGCGAGACCCAGACAGGATCCCCCCCACTTCCTCTCTGCAGTCTACTTGTTGATTTGCTCCAGAAGTGCTGCGAGAGGCAGACAGGACTTTTTTGGCGCTGATTTTTTTATTTATTTTATTTTTTATTGTTGTTTGTGTTGGCGTTGTGCTTTTCATCATGTCTGAGCGCGGCTGATGATGCGCCTCTCGGCTCCAGGCAGAGCGAAGGGGAGCGCGGCGGGCTGAACAAGTTGGAGCGCACAGTCCAACGAAACGATGCTGATTTCGCTCCAGGAGGTGAATCGTCACACGAAGAAGGCGCGTAAGTATGATGCTCATTTATTGTCCATGTTTTAAGATGTTTCGTCATTAGTTTGTTTAATATAAGGGGCGTTGATTTTAATTGTCCTTTTGCGCTCATAAAAGTTTATTGTTTTCAGGAGCCGATATAAGCGTGCTGGAAAAAAGTGTGATATCTACCCAAGGTCCATCTGGGACTGCTTAGGGGGATAACCCGGCGTGTTATGGGCTCTTAATCAAAGTTGTTAATCGGTGTCAGTATTAGCTCGGCTTAATACGAGAACAGCTCAGCTCTGCATTCATATAACAGCTTCATAATATGACGAGCTTAGACCCGGAACCGGACGCTTTCCCACCCGGACCGACACCTTTCAGCACCTCGGACAGCACCCAGCCGGCGGGGTTGGCAGGTTGGGGGGATGTTCAGCACTGGACAGCGATCCCAGTCTGAGCCAAGTTTATCATTGGCCCGGCTGTCCACCTTCCGTGTCAGCAAGAACATCGGCTGTGCCTCTTAAAGCTGATTAAAATATCTATTTGCTTCTCTGATGAGTGGATAAACCACCTGACATTGCTGCTGTAGGACACCGGCGGTGGCCGCTCAGCAGGCGCTGAATAATTTAAAATTTTTCTCCCTCTTGTGTTTCTTTTCTTTTCTTTTTTCAAAGCACAAGAAACGAAGCGGGGTCCTGATGCGGTCACCTCCAGGATCATGTCTTCTTAAGCTTCCAGACTGATTCTTCCAGGCTCTCCAAGTGTCCAACTGAGCTGAGCGAAGATGATCAAAACCGGCTCCCGGTTGACCACCACGCTGCCTCCGGACACCGTAGACATCATCCGGACCAAGACGCACTCCCGCCGGGTGAGACTGAATGTCGGGGGGCTTCTCCACGAAGTCCTCTGGAGGACCCTGGACAGGCTGCCCCGCACACGGCTCGGCAAGCTGCGGGACTGCAACACGCACGAGTCCATCATGGAGATATGTGACGACTACAGCCTGGACAACAACGAGTATTTTTTCGACCGGCACCCGGGCGCCTTCACCTCCATCCTGAACTTCTACCGCACCGGGAAGCTGCACATGATGGAGGAGATGTGCGCCCTCTCCTTCAGCCAGGAGCTGGACTTCTGGGGCATCGACGAGATCTACCTGGAGTCCTGCTGCCAGGCCCGGTATCACCAGAAGAAGGAGCAGATGAACGAGGAGCTGAAGAGGGAAGCCGAGAACATGAGGGAGCGGGAGGGAGAGGAGTTCACCACCACATGCTGCTCCGAGAAGAGGAAGAAGCTCTGGGACCTGTTGGAGAAGCCCAGCTCATCGTTTGCTGCTAAGGTAAACTGACTTCAAGTGTGCAGGCTTTTGTTGCTCGCTGTGTTTTGCAAAACACCTCCTAATTTCTAGGTTCTTTTTTATTTTGATGAGCTGTACAAGGGACAGACTCATAAAATGAAAGGAAACTGAGGTGCAGTTCAGTTCAGTTTTAATTCAGTCAACAAAAAGCGTGTCTCCCACCCTCCAACCCCTCTTACTCTGATATTACTAAATAAAATAAAAATGCAACTAACTACCTCCAGAATCCATCAGTGTAAAACCAGCTGTTTTGGTAAATAACATGAGTCAATATCATCAGGGATCAAGTTTGTTCAGTGCGATCTGAAGAGACAAAACTTCTTCTTTATCATTTTTTTTTCCAATCTAGAGTTTTGTTTCTGCAGCCAGATATGAGACTGAAGTAAAGAGTCAGTTGCGCCAGTGGGATGCGTTAGATCGTATTCATGCGTTAGACCGTTCCAGTTAAATCCAACATCCTAAATCCTACTGTGATTCTATGTTATCAGTTCTGAACTCCTCCTCTGGGTTTTATTTATGGGTGTCTTGAGTAGAGGGGTTGACCACAAATGTACTCCACATTTCCAAGGATTTTATTTGTAAAAATAAAAATAGAAAACAATGTCATACTTCTTTTTACAGATACGTAATTTTGCTCTTTCTTGTGTTGGTAAAACTCATAAAATCTCGCCCAAAATGCAATATAGCTAAATTTATAAAGGCTCCAGAGACATGAATACTTTTGTAAGACACAGTAAGACTGAATGAATGACTTCTCAATTTTTAGGTCTTGACTGAATGTTTTGTAATTTAGATGACAAACAGCAGAGATTCTGGGCTTCTCTTTAAACAAAGCTGCTGTGTTAAATCTTTTCCTATCAGTAGATGTAATTTAGGGAGAAGAAAAAAAGCAAATATTAAAGCCGTCTGCAAAATAAAGGGATATATAGTCCACTCACCGGCTGGTATCGAACAGCAGCGCTCCAGAGGTTCATTTTGTTTTCTCTAATCGATGACATAAAATTAACTGTATGCAATCTTCAAAGAGCTGCTCCATGTTGATGTCTTCCTGGGGTACTAATGGATTTTTTTTTTGTTCCTGGTGGGCTTTTGTTATTTGAAAAACATGACAGCAGTCTTTGTTTCCCTTTATTGGTTTCAGTCGCACAATAACCACTCCGCTGCTGTTAGCGAGTAGATAACAGGAGATAATTAATGAATATTTGTTTTCCGGGCAACAGCAAACAGAACAGGAAGGAGTCTTGTCACTTACTGTTAGAGAACCTTCCTGTGCAAAATATGTATTTTTAGCCCTTCGCATCACACCCACCCACCCGCTCCCTTTTCCTCACACTCAGCCCTCTTGGCTTCATTTGCCACCTCTGTCTCGTTTCCAGCTCAGTATTCAATCATCCGACTCATTAAGAGGCTCATAACTCACAGTCCAGGAAGAAAAGAACGTCACATTGTTGGATCAATGAGGGCTGCCATGTTAACAACACGTTTAAATCAAAAAAGCAGTTCGGTCGTTGTTCGCCACACGTGGATGGCTACCTGTTCATTAGCAGCATATTTGTGTGGGGATTAATGATGCCTGAATTAAGGCGTCAAACAAACTGCATTGAAAAATCAGCGGCGTGTAATTTAATCCCAGCTGTTCTGTGAAGGCATCACAGGTTTGTTAGAGATAATTAAAGTATATCTAGATCAAGTACTGATAAAACAGAAATAAAACAAACAAGAAAAAGTGAATAAATTCTGTCCAGATTTAATTCATTTTTAGATTTTCTTTGCATAGACCCTGTGGAGGACAGGGTCAGTCTGAGAGACGCATTAAAAACACCTCCTGTGTGGAAAGAGTATTTTGAGCTGTGATGATCAAATCGTTACTCGAAGAAGTTTCAAACACCTTTGAACAGGAGTTGCTACATAATTAATGCTGCTCGTCTATTTAAAGACTCTGATCCATCTCTGACCTTGTGTTGCAGAGACTGGCAATAATTTTTTCTTCAATATTCGGCCACGTTGCTTGAAGTCCTGCAGTATCACAGTAAACCCTGCAGGGTCTGATCTTTGGCAGCAGAGGAACAGGAGCATTAGCTTACCAAGCAGCCAGAAACTATGACCATGTCTGCATGGATAACGCCGCAATAAATGAGATTCAGATCATCTCTCTGCTTTTATGGCAAGTTATCACTTCCACTAACTTGGATATGTTCACACAAATGTCTCAAACACGATTCAATCTCAGAAGAGTGTCCTGAGGTTTCTCCAGCTAAGTGGAGATTTATGAACCACAGTTTTCCCCTCCCCAACCTGTTGCTGTGCACTACTGAGCCAGTGGCTGAAGGAAGGCCCCTATTCTTGTTTCCCTGGTTACAGGGAAAAGAAATTTGGGAATATTTCTGGTTGTGGAAAACATTGATAATCATGGTGTGTTTCTGCTGCAAGATACCTGAACAGATAGCATGATTACTTAGCCTGCTAAAATCAGCTGGTTGTTCTTAAACATAGCAACCCCAAATATATGTACATTGTTGATAAGTGCACACATCTAGATTGTTCTTTAATAGTCAATGTGTTTTATTCTTCTAGAAGCAGTAGAAACATTTGTTCTTCTAGATTTAGATTCTGCTTCGTTTTACATTTATGCTGAATATTTGGAAGAATTTATTCTTGTCTGCAAGCTAGATTTCAGCCTGATTAAGTGCCTCTCGGTTTACCGCATTCATTAGTCTGCATTTTACCATCGGCTCATTTCTGCTCTCTATGGCTGTGCCATTAGGTTTAACTACTTGAACTGTGCTGGAAGTATTCCATGATGTTTTTCTGCAAATTTGATTTGCCTTTGTTAATATGCTGGAGTTACATAGTGATGGGAATCAAGAATGGTCTGAAGTGTATAAAAACAAATAAAGAGTAATTTTTTTAATTGACTGTATTCTTTGGTCAATGTAAAAAAAAAAGTTATCAGGAGTTTAGGGCATGAGAGATGGTGTCTTCACCTGATGATGCAAGAATGAATCATCCTAAATGCTTTTTTAGTTTATTCAGTCATCACCTGAATCTGTTTGCTTATAAAAGTCTTTTCAGGATGCCACATGGCAAATATCTGGCCTAGGATTTTAAATCAGTTTTATAAACTTTAATCATTTTTACTTTAAAAAAGGAGCCTGCTGTTTTTTCCTCCAATGTTTTATTCTTTAGGATGAGACAGTAAAAATGTCACATTAAGTCAAATTTTGCTCATCACACATTATTGAAAAATTGTCTCTGTGAAATTGTTTCTTCCCAAACACAGATTGTGTCTCATTTATATTTCAGTGGTGCTAAATTTTTGATTGTGCCACAATAACGCTTGACTCCAACCTAAAGGAAAGGAGCGTAATGAAAACATCTGCAAACCCTGATTTCCCTGTGAGGCTCAATCCAAGGCGCTCCGTCTTTCACAGTGAGGGAGCGGTGGAGGGCAAAGTCTGGGAGAGTCACGCCAACTTAGTTCTAAAAGAGGAGAAATTAAAGCCAGCTTGTTTATCAAAACAGATAAGTTTAGTATTTTTATGCTTTCACTATTGCAAAAGCATGAGTCAGCGGTGCTAATCAGTGAAACAAATCTTAAAAACCCAGAGTTTCCTTTGTTGTGGCTTTCTGCAAGCTCCAGATTTAAACACAGAAAACTCCAAAATGCTAAAAAAATGACCAAAGAATTTTACATTTCACCTCATTCGTGTTAGATTGTTTTAAAAAAAGACCCTTTTTTGTGTCATTCATGTAATGTAAAGTCCATCCAAATGCCCTTACTACCTGTTTACAGTGACCATTAATCATGAATTTGATTTTAAGCGCCGCAGTCCTGTTAGTGAATAGAGCAGCTCTGCTGGCATGTACAAACTCTGCTTCTCTGGCCGAGGCTGTGTGAGCTAATTGCACAGAAACTCCTCGTCCCAGTGAGACACAGGCAGCCATGACCAGAGGGCACTTAACTGCACTTCTTACCACACATCAAATATTTCCGATTGACTTCACCGTAAGCACTTTGCCTTGTTGTTTGTAGAGTCTGGGATGACTGTGTGCGCCCAGGCTGTGGCTCAGTGCGGCGTTGGGATGCAACAGTCCAGTGATTTCTCTTAACTCTTTAGCGTTGGAGCTCTCTGGCCTGATGAATGACTCGCTAGTGAAAATGAAGAGAATCTGTTTGGGGACCTACTGGATGCAGAGTCATCAGGCTTTCGAGAGGGTCTGTCACAAGACGCTGAAGTTGCACAGTCATTGTGTTAGTGAGTGATGCGAAAGGCGGGGAGTTCAAAGGTGAAACAGCAGCGTCGACCCCGAGTACCAGAGCTCATCATTTCCTCTGTTTCTCTTCGCCTTCCTCTCGCTCCCTCTGTTCGCTCTAACAATCATGCTCGGAATTACAGAGGGCATATTACGTTGTTTTCCCGATTTGTTGCCGGGTAACGGCATCTCCTTCGCCGCGCTTAGGTAAGCTTTGAATAGCCATAAATTTCGGGCACGCAGTTTCCCAGCTGCCAGACTGATTACAGAGCCATATATCGTCATGTGGGCCAGCGTCGAGTCACAAGGAGAGCCAGGCTCATTGGCAGAGAGATTCAGGAGTCTGTCGTTGTTTTTTCCTCATCACCATCTCCGCATGTTTCACATTTCTTCTGCTGGGTCGCCTCTTCCCAGCATTCACACACTCAGGAATTATTGTGGAAAATCTAAATACATGTCGAAGTGATCCAAAGAATAAATCACCTGTATTAATGCACAAGAGCATGTCTGCATACCTGTTCATTGGATAGTAAAGGAACAGAGAAATCCCATCCATTGGCACAAGAAAGAATTTTAGATCTTTCTAAAGCATTATTGTTTCTACAAAGAAGAATCTCCTCTAAACATTTAATCTGAAGAAGGAATATCATTTTCTATGAAAGTAAGTAAATATGGAATATGACATCTTAAGGCTCTGATGAAATCCTTGTAAGTTTGTTTGTTTTTTC